AATTCATTTACTCGATCTAAAAACAAATCATCCAAATTAGTGGGCACCTGACTATACCCAAATCCATGAGTGTTAGTGTTTTGTTGCGCTCTTAATCCAAAATCCCTGAAGCTTGTCCATCCTTCATGCTCACCTATATTATAAAATCGTTCAAGATAATATACTTATAAAATATGTGTCAATAATATACATACGTTTTATATATCAACATCCATTTTTTTGCATTAAAAATTTAACAATAACATTGAAAAATACAAGTTAATTTAATCATTGGTTTTTATAATAGCACCGCCTAGCCTATCTTCTGTAATCCAATGAATGGCGGAAAAAAAAAAAAAAAACGGTAAACTCAACTTGACGACAGTGATTCGAACTAAAATATCCACCTCAAATCGGATAAAATAGATCAAATTAGATACATTTTATGATAAATAACACCATAAGAAATCAAAACCCTACACTATGAACGAATTATTTGCTAAAACTTGAATACAATCGATTAAATGATGGAAACCCGAAGTTCTTATCTGGTTTTCTACAACGGTGGCTTCAAACCCAAATCTGACTTGTAATCGACCAAAAAAATCGCAAAGTACGAATAATTTCTTCTCAATAACACTCTTAAGATTAATAACTCTCTGATTTTATAAAAAATGATGCCCTATTTTGCTTGAAATATAAGAAATGGCGGAAACCTAAAAAAAAACCATTGTTCTTCACAAATCCAATGATTTTGTGATCGAAATTGAAGCTTTTAGCTCTAATATATCGAACAATAAGGCTGAAAAGTTAAAGATAAAAGCTGCAATATTCGATTTAAAAACTGAAAAAGCAAAAAAATGATAAAAAAAAGCCAAATTTTGATGATTCACAAAGCTTTTTATTGTTCACCCGTGTTTGTACAGTGACTCCGGCGATTCACTATTCATAATTACCCGTTTCTCTCTAGACACCGGCGGTTTTGCGTGTTTTGTTGGAACCGACATAGAGGTGTCGATTCCCGAGTCAAACCGGGCGAGTCTAGTTCGACTCATCGATTTTTCAAACATTGGTTAACACTGTCAAGTTTCAAATCGCGCGCTCAAACAAAACTGCTTAGCCAAGAATAGTAGAGTTTGACATAACCCCAAAAAGCAAGCAATCTACATTTGCCAACATAATGGTAAATATTGCCTTCCTTTCCTATTGGCAACACATGCATAAGATATTTCATACCAAACAAAATCAGAACCCATTTCAAGCTCTCTGTTTCTCTTCATTCTCACTAACTCTCCTTATATGAGAACTGAGCAACCTATTAGGATTGAAAAATCTACTTATAATTCAACGAGAATTTGTTTCAACCTAGAGAATCAATTCAGTGAAATTGAACAATTAAAAAAAATAAAAATTTTGTGCAAATGTTCATAACAGTTCATTGATACAAGAACGAAAAGAGAGAGAGACTATTTTGACCAGAAAATGAAAGAGATCGAAAGAGAAAGGTTTTTAGAGGGAGAAGCTTTAAGAGAGTACAAATAAGGGTAGCAGAAAGGATATCGAATATCAATAAGAGCTGACTTGAAAGAGAGGGCTGAATTAACAGAAACTGGACCGTCTAAAACTTCTTTATAGTCCTAGAGAGAGAGAAAGAGAGTCAATTCTAATTCATTCTTGTCAAAAAAAAGAGCTAATTCTAATTCATGTTGAATTCCTGAAACAAACACAAGGACATAGACATAGACAGAGAGAAACACAAGGAGATAGAGAGAGAGAGAGAGTTCATTTTAATTCATCCTAATACCTGAAACGCGCACACACGCAGTTCATTTTCATTCATGCTAAATGATTGAAACACAAAGTAATAAAGAGAAAGAGAGATCAACCTACTGAAACTGAATCTTGGACTTCGTAAAGCCTTGAAAGACCTTTCCCAGATGTTGTAAATTGTTAGAGAGAGAGATCTTTCCCAAAAGCCTTGAAAGCTTTGAAAGACCTTACACAACATTTGAGAGCAAATTTAAAAGTAACGTATGTGGGCAGTAATGAGATAAAGACAAAAGACAGGTGCTTACCACTATGTTGGTATTTCCATTGGAAACATGGAGGTGGTACACAATGACATACTGGTACAAGAAGAAGGGAAGCGAAAGGACTATCTCCCAAAGTCGCCCCATAAACTCAGTGTATTGCAAATGCTCTTGCTCCTCATCCCACCAAGACTCCCAACTCTGGTTGTTGGCACACCATTCTCCCCTCTGCTACTAATTCACTTAGTCCAATCATCCCAATCCTCCACAATGATGAGCTCATCAAGAATTCAAGAACATGCTCTTTTTTTTATAAGATTGATGTATAATTAAAATCAGTAATGCTATGTCATGAGCATCAAAATGAATGCGTAGTTGAAGGGATTCTAGAGACCAAACTCTCCACATAGCAAACTGCATAATTAAAGCAATGGACAATCATGAAACAATGATTCATGAAGCCTCAATTCCCAAATACATCAACAAATCCTTAAGTACATAAGAAAATAAACAACATATAACTTATCATAAAATATGTCCAATGTTACATGAGAATGAAACAAATCCACCTCATAACTCAAAAAGTGAGACATCCTTAACCATTTTTAAATGGTACCCAAGAGCGAGGGGAGAGAGCAAAAGGAAGAGAGATAGAAAGAGAGAAGTTAAATTTCATATCTAAAGTTCCTATAAAAAAATATTTAGAGAAATAGAGAGAGACTCTGAGAGGGCCATAGGATCGCATAGTTATCAGGCCTCAGTTACGATCATTTGATCCCCTCCATATTTGGACTGAATCCAAGCCAATTTCCTCGCATCATTCATCTTGAGGAAGATCTTACTCGTATTCACATCTTAGCCAATCTCCATGCATACCGTTGAAACGACATCATCTGCAACATTATCAATATTAAAAATGGTATCGCACACCTCATCGATGTGAGGATTAGCAATGTTTTAATATTCCTTAACTGCAGACCCTAGGCCCAACATTGCTTGAGCAATAATTTCTAATGTATTGGTCATTGCCATCTTCTTCCTCGTTGTTCGCCGACTTGAAGTTGAAGCTGTGGATTTTCCTTCTCACTAGCCCTTGAATATGCAAGGGTCTCATGAATGTCCCCCTCTTCAACATCCCCACCAATGTCTTCACGAACCATAGCCCCCCTCCCGCTCTCACCTTATGTCTTCATCTTCTCGCGTTGCATCCCACTTGCTCATTGATGTTGTCCTTGCACCTATCCTATCGGCCTGTGAATTGCTTATGATTATGTTCAACTCCTCATAGTAGAGAAATAGTTTCCTTTCTTTCTCTAGATTGGTACTTGTTTTTCTCTTACTTGAGTGGAGATTTCTCTTAGAAGGTAAGTGTTTCAAGATTCAATGGTCATTTGAAATATTTGTGGATGTTATGTTGAAGAGAGAGAGTGCTTCTCTAATTACTTTTATTAATGCTATTTTAGAGAGAGAAAGACGTGCAACTAGCTTCGTGTTTGAAAAGGGAAGAAGACTGATTTCTTGACATTGCATGGAAACAAGAGAGAGAGAGAGATGAACAAGAGAGAGAGAGAGATGATTTGCATTCCTGGAAAAAGATATTCTAGGCAATCCAAATAATGAATTTGCTGTTTTTGAATTTCTAACAAATGCAATCCAAACTGTATACACCATATTTCAGGAAATGCCAATTCCAGTAAAAGAAAAAGTTTATATAAGGATGCTACCTTATAATGTAGAACTACGAATGCCCCTAAAAAATCCATCGGAAAAGGTAGTTTTAAAGTTGAAAAACCCTTTGATTGATCATCTCGACATCGAGATGTATGACTGAAAAATAAAAAGATTTTAAGTCTCAGAAATAATGCATTTTACAACTCCTTAAGTAGTTTGCATATTACAACTCCTTAAGTATGAGACTTAAGTAGTTTGCATACAGATGCATAATTTTGATGTAAAATTATCAATTCTACTTAATATGCAAACTACTTAATATGCTTATATCAATTCTAGGATACACTTCCATATGATTGAAAAATCTTGGGAACCAAATAAGCCCAAAATTGATTGATCAAGGATATTCCTTAAATGAGTTTGGCTATAAAATGAAACAAACAAGCGTTTGAAACGCTTCCTGAACCGATATTCATATTCAATAAAGAATTTCTAGGATCTCGTCCAATTTTTTGTTTTCTTTTGTTTCTCTTGGAGTTTGTCATTTTCTTTGCGGGGATCAAGAGATAGTCGAGTTTCCCTCCTTTCTAAAAGCACACAAAATAAAGCAACGAAGAGAGCTAAATTTCCGACCTTTTATTTTCGTATACCTAACGGAAAATTTGTTGCTTTCAAAAATTCAAAATGAAGAGGCCCAAGCTGGAAGGAACAGTTCCTGAAAAGCGTCCGGTATGTTGTGTCAGGAGAAGGGATAGTGTGAGGGACTTTGCTGACAAATGTAGCTTAGCAGGCTTGCATGAAAAAATCGCGGCAAAAAGGACTTACCTTTTAAATGGTGTTTATTTTAGGCAAAGTTTGGTTGATTATTGATATTTTTTGGATAGATTAATGGGGAATACAGGCCCCTACCCGTTTTTTTAGAAATAATTAACGGTTTTTGAATGCATCAATGGGAATGGAAACCTAAACCAATAGCTAAAACTCAACGTTTTTTTTTTTAGAAAGTAAAAAAGCTTAATTAGATTTAATTAGATTTAATTAGATTTTTGCATTAGATTTTATGCAACGTTATGCATTCTTTTGCGAATTTCCTCGTTTTATTTTATCTTCTTTTTTTCTTTTCTTAGAATATTAATGAGATGCCATGGCTGAAATGCTGAGTCGACTTGGCCGAATTGAACATAGGAGGCACCTGATCCCGAGCAGAGTTTTAAACACTGGCATGCAAGATTTCCTTTCAATAGTGTGCTACGCTACATGTATCATACACAGTAAGCAATTCACCCCTATATGGTTACACAATCTAATTTAAGATCCAACTCCGCACAAAAGGGGTAGCGCCCATCAAATATTATTTGCTCTAAAAATTAAAGTCTACAGTTTAGAAATATCTCGAGATTCTGCTTCATTTGAGTAATATTTTGAGATTCTCCTTGAAGGACAACCAACCTAGCAACCCAATGTCGCACATACCTCAGTGCTCAACAAGTACGAGAGCATGGATCAGAAGATTGAAAAGTAGAAATAAATATTCCCCAAAATATGATCAATAACAGGAGAGTGGCATCACAAAATGGAAAATGCAATTAATTGAACTCAGTACCATTTCCAATCGTTCCATTTAACAAAAATGCAACAAGACATGGCTGATAGACTGCCTTCACTTCGTGTAATTCCACCCATTGAGTGTGATAGCCTTCAAATGAGCAGAGATTAACTTGGATTGTAGTTCATGGACGTTCAATCTAGCAGCGTGATTGGTTTATTGCAGTAGCATCAATGAATGGTCAGCAGATAATGATTCCCAATAGAACACAAACGAAAAGAGGAGAAAGAAGGCACGACTTCTCCAATGCTTGTTCTTCCTCAGCTTCTTTCTCAGCCTCCTAGTGTCTTCTGCTTATAACCATACTTCTGCCTCTCCAAGAGCTTCTCCATGGCCTTCCTTGTCTTCTCCATCTTGGCTCTGTATTTCTCAGCTTGTTCTCTATCAAATATTACTTTACAATACACTTCCCCAGTCGATGGCCACACCCACGTGCCACCATCAGTGCTACCTGGGGGATGGTCACCATCATCGGCCTGCTCTGCCCACTCCTCATCCATGTCCTTCAACAGTGTGTTGTTGAAGTGAGCAACCCACATTGATCCAATTCGCTTCTCTACAGGATGCTGCTCCTCAAGCAAACCTGAGATGGGGTCTATATAAACCATCTTTCTCGCACTGTGATATGCCCACACATTCACCAAAACTTCCAAAACACGGCAGTAACATTGCCTTTTCTGCAAATATGACAAAAATCTTTCATGTTTCATGAATCAATGAACTCAAACATGCCATAATATCTTTGCATTCGTCAGCTTCTAACATCAGAGAAAGGCTTAACAACCGTACCTCTATCTTTGAAGATCCCAACAAGCATGTATCATTCCTCTGGGGATTAAGTCTCTGGCTATCCAGCAGGGAACTAGTGAACATCCTGTGGTTGCATTTTTTCAGGTAAATATCATGTACCTGGATCACGCATGTAGAGCAAGTACAAATAAAGCCTAAAAATCTGATGTTACATCTGGTTCTGGCAAAAGCAAGCTCACCGTGAGAACATCACAAATTCCAGGAAGGAACGTGTTGGCATGGCCCAACTGTGAAGGGCAGACCAGTGCTCACCATCACTTGGCATTGGAGGGAGGGCTGTCTCGTTCGATGGCAAAGCATACATCAGCCTGAAGGCCTCTGCAAAACTGGTCCTGCCAAATACAAAGAAGATAAGTGGATGCTATGTGACCTGTAATAATATATTGCACAAACTTGTCACCACAAGAGGACCTACAAGCGACAATGTGTTTAGCATCTGCAAAATACAAATAAATTCAAAGATCAAAATATTATGGTTAACCCAGTTCATGAGGATTCCCATATAGAACTTCCTATGAACTGAATGCATACAGGCCAAAATCATCTGGTGATATGAGAAATTCGAGATTGTAATAAATTTATCATGGCACCCTTTCTGAGCACACCACCCTCATTCCACCTTCAAGAGAGAGTAAGAGAGAGCTTGAGAAAAAAAGAGAGGTAAGCCTGGCAAACCATGAGCATAAAGTGAGGTGCTATGGTGTCTAGTTCTTTCATGAGCCATTAGCATCAAGGATTCCATCTTCTTTAAGGTCCTTTCCTTGGTGCAAATGCTCCATGACAGCAAGCTAATCCATCCATCTGGCTTCTTTTAGGTTGATTTTCCTTTATCATGCCTAATTGATTTGCTAAATGCCTTGATAATTACACATCATTTTGGCATAGTCTGAACTAGATTTCCTTGAGCTATTTCACTTGATATTTCCTGTGAGTTTCCGTAGTATAGCAGCAAGCAAAAGTCATTCTTAGTATGTTTAAAACCTCATTTTCACTAGCTCTCACTATACCAAAATATTCCCATATATATGTTTGAGCCTCATACACCTTAGCAATACCATTGACATTGGCATACCACCCTTTTCTATCCCACATGTTGATTTCATTAGCACCTTCTCATGAGTACATTGATTTGACTATTACAAATGTGGATGATTGCTTCCTGATGCATGCTCCCCATAATTGCGATTAAATTTGGTTACTTGATCTTGAGCAAGTAGTGGCATAACAACGGGTATATATAAATCCTTGGTGGTGAACCAGGTAACATGAGCATGATAATCGACTTTCTATGATTTTAGATAAAGTGCAAACATTTGGTTCATGTTTATGTGAATGGAAGCTGAGTGTATTCGAGTATTTGAGTCTTGTAATTCAAGTGTATATAATTCACATTTATGTTGCATGAGATAAATGTACAAGGTCCTGAATTTTGGGTTGAAGTCACATTGAATTGTGTAAGACTCGATCTCCATAGAGTTCTTTGAGTGGGGAAGTGTCTTGGAACCAACTTGAAGTCATGTATTTATAGAGGGTATTTGAAGTATCTTGAGTTGCCAAGGTTTGGGGTATGCCATCGATTTTATTTTCAAAATTGTATTGAAGTATTTGAGTTGTATTAAGTGAGAAATGTTTTTGGGGTTCTACCGTGAACTTGGTTCTATACACTCAACACAAGTACGGGGATTATGGGAAGCATAAAACGGGATTGGGGTAAATGCTGGCCCAAACCCACTCCCGATGCATAATAAATATTGAGAATTGAAGCACAAGGGGATTCTATAATGGAGTCATTAGGTGCACGGGGACCGTGAGTTGGAAGACTTTCAGCAACACAGGTTTTGTACTAGTTTTTGGTCCATCAAATTGGGCATGCTCCAGTGGTCATTTCTTGGGCAAGTTTGTTTTACCTGCATGGATTTAAGTATATTTTAAGCTGCAATGTTTCAGCAGGATCCCATTTATACAGTTTGATAGTTATTAGTCAATCATCAAGTGGCGGCAGTTCCTGGAATGCAAATTCCAGGAACATTGCACCCTGTAGTGTGGGCTCTATCTGCTATGAATCAGTATGGACCAAGGCGGGACCTTGTTTTTCTCTTGCGGAATTGAGTCTAGTTTCAGAAAAAAACAAATTTGAGGGAAGAACTCCAAATATTTTGGGAGATATGGGCATTTTATAAAAGGGTGCTCACCCTGATTTTCCTGCAACATAGTCTAGATAGTGACTCCCTAAGTCACAGGCTTGTACACCCTCATGACCAGTAATTTTGTGCCACTCATGTTTTTCTTGTTTCTTTTTTGAGTCTGGTTTCAGTGGGAAAAAGTCTCATGTTTTTCTTTTCATATTCATACATCTCGATGTCAAGATGATCAATTAGAGCGTTTTCCAACATTCATATAACCTTTTATGATAGATTTTTTAGCTGCACCATTATTTCTACATTTTAAGGTTGCAACCTTATATTAACTTTTTCGTTATAATATTGGGGAGCAAGATTCTCTGATTTGGAAATGAAGTTCCCATGTGCAAGATTTGAGTTTCTTAACCTGGGAACACAATAGAAATAATGATCCAACCTAGTATGGAGCAAGGAATAAATTTTATAGGAACGAGCTCCATTTACTTGAAAAACGAGATCATCATCTAAGTTTAAATAGGGCTCCTTGGCTTTACAGGGTAGTTCCTAGCTTTAATATTAATAATATGTAATCTTATACTTCTATTAAATAAATAAGGAACTTTAAATTACTCCATAGTTCATTATATTAATATAGTTGATAAATCAATTCATTAAATAAATTATGAACTTTAAAACTATCAAGTTTTAACTTTTGAGTGCAAAAACCTTGTGCTGCACTACTGCCATCTTTTTCTTTGGATAGCTATGTGTATGAAAATATAACCCAAAAATATATAGACATGAAATAATTTGTTTTAATTGTTGCTTAATAAATAAGCAAAGGAACAAGGAGCACTCACTTTGGAGGATAACTGGGAATTTGGATGCAATATAAGGTGATCCTTGTGTTCAAATGTAATTGAATCTAGATCCGACAACTCTTGGGATCAAGAACCATATCACATAGGAATTAGATCCTGCAAGTAGCCGAGCACACAAACACATACTTAAAGGAAACTCGTTCCACTGAAAAAGGAAGTCAGACCCTTAAAGCTAAAAAACCGAGATCCTTGAGAGATCCGTTCCGGGAGCAACAGAATTGAGATCCTAGAAGGTGCACCTACCAAAGTAGGCGATCCTGCTAACTATGGTTATGAGGTTTTGGGAGGCACTTAGAGTGCATTTGATCAGTAAAAGAATTGAAGAATCTCCACTGAATAGTGGTTTTGAGATTGAGGAATCTAGGATCTAGGATCTTGATATGCGTGCTAGAGGACACTTGGAATGTAGTAGATGAAGTTCTCCACACACCATGGGATCTCATTGAAAGTATCGGATCATCGGCATGGGCAAATAAACAAGATTGGATCACCATTGGAGGCTTGGCATCATGAATTATGGCACAAACGTATCAAAAGGCAAACTTTCTATCCCTTGTGCATGGTTCTATAACATAGTAGGGAAGGAGGATTCTATAACCATATAAGCAACATAAAATGAACACAAAAGCAAGCGAAACAAACCCAACTTCATACACTCTAATTCACTAGAATGTAGAGGACCACCTTGGCTTGAGATGTGATATTATTAATATGGAAAGCTTGGACATAGTCAAATGTGCTATAGGCTTGAAAGAGCTACAGAATAATCTTTATTATATGATATTTATGCTTGTGTACGCTCCTTGTGAAAAGGTAACATACAAGTAATGAGTTTTGGTGTTTTGATCCTAGGTCAAAAGTCAAACATGAAAGAGATGGGTGTAACTTATTCAAGGATGTAGCATGTGCCATTAAGTGCATGGAAGTGAGCCCTTAATCCTTGTTTAAATGGGAAATTGAATGTTAATGCCTTTTCAGTTATGACTCTTGTCCTTAGGAAGATGTGTTATGGTCCATGGAATGAGATGAGAGAGAGACCTAGTCTCTTGCTTTCCTATGTCAAGGTAGTAATCGTGTGACATGAAGTTCGGGTTGGGTTCTCAAAACTGGTAACTAGAAATGCCTAGGTCCCAACCTTCTTCTTTATGGGTTGTTATGCGCACGCTTTGATAGTGTATGACAATTGACAAGTGATGATTTTGGTTGGAAGAAACTTTTCTTGGGATATAAGTTTTTGAAAATTGTGTGGTCTTTCATTGTTTCCAAAAAGCCATATATTCCCACAAGGAATGAGTTGAGAGTCATAGGGGTTGAGACCATGAGCACAGGATGGCAATTACCACCTTTCCTCACTTCAGATCCTTCCATGCTCTCATTCTCTTTCTTCCCTTTCCCCTCCTAGGAAAATCCTTTTTATCGCTTTTCACTTGTCCGTCATCACCTCCTCATGATTAACCTATCTCCTGCTTGTCTTTCTCTTGTACAGGAGTCTCTATAGGTATTTTTGATAGAAGATTGCTTGTATTTACATTGGGTGCACAAGGCATAGTCAAATATTTCACCTAAAGAATCATCATTATTATAGCCTTTTCCCAATTAATTAGGGTCAGCTACACGAATCCTGGTCCGCCGTTCATGTTTTTGCAAAGTTTTACGTTTACTGCCAACCTAACACAACCTAATCCCTTTAACCGGGCATGGGACGGGTTAAGGGAAAGTTTAAGGTCATCACCCTTCTTAGACCTATTTCACCTAAAGAATAAATATATAAATATAATATCATATATATATATATATATATATAAAAAGCAGGGATTAGCTTACTAGCTTATATGAACATATGAGCCCAACTGCTCAGATTGAATCTGGGCTGATCTGACGGTCACGACCTAATTTCGTGTTTGAATTTTAATTTTTTTTCTATAAATTCAAATCACTTAAAATTTTAGGCGTGTGTTTTTCTCATCAAGGCGCACTTTATAAAAATTATTTGCAAAAAATAAAATGACCAAAATACCCCAAAACTTTTCGAGGGTATTTTGGTCCATTTATTTCATGTAAAATATTTTTTTGATATTTTTCGAAGATTCAACTATTTTTTATGAACACACTCCAAAAATTTCAAGTCATTTAGATTTGTAGAAAAAAATTAAAATTCAAACACTATCTAATATCAGTGATCGTCATATCAGCCCAGATTCGATCTGGGTCGTTGGGTTCATATGTTCATATGAGCTAGTGGGCTAATCCCAGCATTTCCATATATATATTCATATACATATATATATATATGAAAATGCTGGGATTAGCCCACTAGTTCATATGAACATATGAGCCCAACAATCTGGGTCGATCTGACAATCACGATCTCATTTCGTGTTTGAATTTAATGATTTTTATACAAATACAAATAACTTGAAATTTTAGGCGTCCATTCTTCTTATCAAGGCGCACCTAACAAAAATATTTAAAAAATAATTCGCAATAAATAAATTGACCAAAATACCCCTGAAACATTTCAGGGGTATTTTGGTTAATTTATCTTTTGTAAATTATTTTTTTGATATTTTTATTAGATTATCATATTTGTGAAGAACACATTATCATATTTGTGAAGAACACACGCCTAAAATTTTAAGTTATTTGGATATATAGAAAAAACATTAAAATTCAAATACAAAATGAGATCGTGACTGTCAGATCGGCTCAGATTCAATCTAGGCCATTGGGTTCATATGTTCATATGAGCTAGTGGGCTAATCTCAGCATTTTCCATATATATATATATATATAGATAAGACACTTCCCTATTCTTTGTGAACATAGTTCTTTTTAGAAGTTATTCATATTTGTTATAGTTAGTTATAATATAGGGCATTACTGTTGTTTCTGATTAATAATATAATCATGCTAAACTTCGTTTATTAAAATTGTATTTATTTTATTATTACGTATGGCATTCCAATTGTACACTATCAACCGCTAAGTATAGGAGAATCCTCAAGGGCTTTGGATGAAACTGCAAGATCTTGAGATTCAGATACAAAACAAATATAAAACTTAAGCTCTCCAAATATTGGAGAATGAAACTTTTAACCAACGTTTTAAAAATCTGAAAAAGAAAATTTTAATGAGAAATTAGATCTTCTAATTTGGTTTTCAATTTATTTCACCCACAGTAAGTTAACTCGTAGCCAAATCTTTCCACATGTACTACTAGAGAGTTTCTAACATATAGGAGAATATAGAAAAGGTTTAAACTTAATACGAAACATCTGCACAAGAGTGTAACGCTAGGCCTCAAATAATAAACATTGAGAAGATCAATACTGAAAATAGAATAAAACTTCAGCAAATCTGTGCAATGCAAAAGCTAAGACAAATGAACTAAGAGAAAAACTCGCACAATTCGTTATTAATTTTGTTTGAAGCACATAACAAACATCTCAATGAGCAGGAAATATAAATTATTCAATCCAATTCAGCCCCATTTACCTGCAACGCCTGGCATTTAAGATGTCACAGATCGACCAAAAATTATAATTCTTATGCTTTATTTCTGGAAGAATAGTTTTGCCCATGCTTGCCCAAAAGTAGATTGTATCTCCCTCAGTTTCTCTTTGTATAGTTTCCTCCAGTATTCTTTCAGCCTTAGTTGATAGTAACAGCTGCTTCAAGGAGAAAAATAGGAGTATACATCAGTTTGACACTTGCAAACTTAGTAATTATTTAATATAAATGGGAGTAAATCAATCTCTATGGATTGGTCATTATTCCTAATCACATTAATTTTACTACAATATCCATGATATATGAAATAGCTTATTGTAATCCACACTTATATATCTACTCTCTGACATGTTCATCCTGTCCTCAATCAGACCAAGACTCGTGCACTTCTAGCCTTCATGTCTATTTCCTTCCTAAAGAAAGAGGAAGAACTATTTCATGCACAAAGAATTCAATGTAGCTGCTAACCATATGGACAACAAAAGGCAAACCAAGGAAGCAAACAAGAACTTCTATGGAAAGAAACAAAAGCCCATGAGGACAAACACAATTGGATAAAATGGAGTGTATATCCAATAATTAAAGTCAAAAGATTCTATGCTCCTGTGCATTTCCTCAATTCACTCCCCCATGTAAAACCCAATCTAGGAGTATTTTTAAGCCCCAAAATCTTCAGAGAGTAACCTCTTTTTCCTCAACATCAAAAGAAAGAGAAAAGAAAAGAAGGAACTCTGCATGTGCCTAAAACGAATAATATCCTACGATTGAAAAAAGACCATGCAGTTTGTGGACAGTCAGATACAAGGGTTTAAGAAAACTCTCAAAATCTTTTTTTTTTAAACTAGTCATCCAGTGATTCTTAAGTGGATTCTCAAATTTTAGATCTAAAAAATCCTTCTAAGTAGCTCTTTTGCTAGGAGTAAGTAGCTCCCAGGTAGTAAACTTAGGAAAAACATAATTGAGAAAGAAGAAAATCATACTAGGACAAATATAATAGAGAAATAATGGAATATGTATCAAATTATGAAATTGACAATTTCTGAAAGGACGATGTATAACATATTAAATGTGAAATTGGCATACAATGTTACAATTTCGTTTACTGAAGAAAGATGTTGGCAAGAATAAATACAAACCAAGTCAAACAGAGAGCCACAGAGAATTCAGAAAGCAAAAGGCAAAATGTTTAAGGAGATAAGTAGACAAGATAAACAACCAGCTCCTACTAAGACTACAAAAAACACAAGTACCCGAAAACAATTGAAGGATGAATCCCACAAGTCGTGCATTATACTTGGTGATATAAATTTTAAAAAAGAAGTAAACACTTAATTCACAAAGTAATTCTAGATAACATTAAAAATATTAGCAATTAAAGAGTCAGAGTTTCAATATTAAGGGAAAGTAAAATGAATTAATACTTTCTGTTAGAGAACCTAAAGAGAGAAGAGGAAAGAGACAGAAGAAAAGAAAGATATGAGACGTGAGAGAGGGAAGGGAGTCCCGTGAGGTCTACTTGCACCTCATGCAGCTTTCAAACTAATATATATTAGTAAAAAATATGAAAGGACAGAGCTGCCCATACAAAAAACAAAGGACACTTAGGTCTTAAAATTTAAATAACAAAGGACTTCTAATGCCCCCCCTCAAGTTGGAGCAAATAGTTTGGAGTATACTATGAAGAAGTATGTCAGCTGATCCTTAGATTTCACATATAGAATAGACACCAATTTAATAGCAACTTTCTCTCGGATAAATTGACAATCTACTTCAATATACTTGGTCCGTTCATGAAAAACTGGATTACATATAAGTGGCAGCATTATTGTCACAATACATCTTCATAGGTTCAACAACAGTAAACCCCATCTCTTGCATCAATGTTTTCAGCTATATTAATTTGTATATAGTATATGTCATGGCTCTATACTCAACCTCTACAATAGATTTCTAGCTACAACATTTTGCTTCTTGCATCTCCATGTTACTAAGTTTCCACCAATAAATGTACAATAACTTGTTGTATTGGAGCATGCATAAATGGACTCACAATACTTAGTGCAAAAGAAATATTAGGCTTGGTGATGTTTAGATAAATCAGCCTGCCTACCAGTCTTTTGTACTTTCCTGAATCCTCAAACAACTCCCCTTGATCAACCAATAATTTTGTATTTGAATCCATAGGTGTATCCACCAGTCTAGCACCCAACATTTCAGTTTCAATCAAAAAAATCAATAATGTACTTTCTTTGAGACAAACTAATGCCATGCATTAATCAGGTTACTTCAATTCCTAGAAAATACTGCAGCTAGCCTAAATCCTTCATACGAACATATGTTTTAGATGTCACTTCAAATGACTGCCTCCTTCTTGATATTGTCAGAACAACAATTATCATCAACATTGACAACTAAAACAATTATTTTAGAGTCCTATTTCCAAATAAACACTAAATGATCTGCATGACTGTGCCGAAATCCATATCTATAAAAATTTCACTGTATTTTTCAAACCATGAAGGTGGGAACCGTTTCAAGCTATATGTTATTCAACTTACACACTTTTACCTGACTCCGACTGAGTAATAAACCCACCAAGTGGTTGCTCCATTACACCTCTTCTTGTAAATCACAATGGAGAAAAGCGTTCTTGATACCAAGCTACCACAACGGCCATCTCTTATTAGCAGCCACAAATATAACCACTCGAACTGAATTAAATTTAGCACATGGGCAACTGTTTCAATGTGTCAATAACAAATATTTGTGTGTATCCCTTGGCTACCAATCTGGTTTTAATCTCTCTACAATACCATCTGATTGAAATTTAACTACATAAACCCATGGACACCCTTTTTCTATCTGATAATTCAGGGAGTTCCCATGCATCATTAGAATGCAATGAATCCATCTCTTTTTCCATTGCTCTCTCCACCCAGTATGAGAAAGTGCTTCTCTATACGTCATAGGAACAAAAATAGATAGAAAGAGCTAAAGCAAAACTTTGATATCATGTTGATAAATTTGTAAAAGTCACATGCACAATCAGATGCTGAGTACAAGATCGGGTACAAGATCTGGTACGTTTGCGGATGGTAATAGATACATCATCATCATAAGAAGAAAGTGGATCAGTAGACGAAGACGATTGAGTGGCTAGGTGAGTTGGTGGGGGATATCCATTCAGAATTTTCTTCTGGTGTAAACCTTTATTGGTTGCTCCTGAGAAACATCATGACGTGTAGATGCACTACATTTAGAGGAGTCAGGTAATAGGGGTGAAGAAGAAGTATCAACAGGAATAGAAGGAGGAATCATAGAAGGCAAGGCCTATGAGACTTCTTCAGAAGCAAGATAAAAAATGTGTATCAAGCACATGACTCCTCTGAAAAATACGGAGTATGATCGAAAAAAGTAACATCAATACAAATAAATTTCTTTTGTAAACCCGAATGATAATAATGATAACCTTTCAGGAAGCATGAAAACCTGAGAAAGACATACATGACAGCCCGAGGGTCTAGCTTATCATTGCCAATACTTAACATATGAACAAAGAAAACACAACCAATCACTTGCGGAGAACAACAAATAGTGGAGCATCGGGAAAGAGTACCGAGTGTGTTGTTTTTCCATTTAAGACTGAAGAGGGCATACGATTAATTAAGTAGCTCGATGTCAACAAGGGATCTCCCTAATAAACCTATGGACCATGGTACTAATGAGCAAAGAACATGCTATTTCAAGTATGTGTTCTTTTTCCTTTCCGCAACTTCATTCTATTTAGGAGCATGTGCACAAGACGTTTGGTCTAAAATCCCTTTTTAAGAAAATAATTTTGAAATTCTCTAGGAAGATACTCTTTGGCATTATCAAAATGTAAAATATACATATTCTTATTATATTGAGTTTGGATATCTTTGTGAAACAATTTAAAAATGGAGAAAATCTCATCTCTCTTTTATTAAATATAACAATGTCATTCGGGAATGAATATTCAAGTAAACATAGAGATGGCTCCAATAGGCGTTAAAATGGAGGAAAGTAGACATAAGTGGTTTGGCCATGTGCGGCGTCAACCTAGAACAGCACCTGTTAGGAGGGGTGATTTGACTTCAAGTGAAAAACTCTAAAAAAGCAAGGGAAAGGCCTAAACAGATATGGATGGAAGTAGTGAGAAGAGATATGGTGACTTATAGTTTGACTGTGGCTAAGGATATGGTCCTTGATAGAGCAGAATGACGGAACAAAATTCGTGTAACCGACCCCAACTAGTTGGAATAAGACTCAAACGATGATGATGATACTTACTCTGAAAACATATATGGATTCAATCAACTAAGGAACGATTTATTATTCTTGAGAGTCATCATGAAATAGATTAGTTTTATAAACAATGTTCAATTTGTTCTTTCTTCAAATATGGCCGTGTTAGTAAAACCTGTTCTTCATGGCCTGAGGAATTTGACATCTTATGCCTGTGTCTAACACAAAATTAGGTCCATGCAACACAAGTTAGTGATTAAAAAAATATTTTCTTCCATGAAATGATGGTATTTGTTAGTGTATGTATATATGCATGGACATATGTTGCACTGATGTACAGGGATTTAGATATACCCACGTGACTAGGTAAATCAGATAAACTTCTTTCAAAAGTATAGATACCCGCACACATGAATGTGCAAATATATTCATGAATACAATTATGCATATACGCATGTTTGAATAAATGTCAGTACCTAAGTATGACAAATTCAATAATGGTTTGCTTAAAGGTGAGCATGGATTTATAAGGAGAATGTAATAAATATATGCCTGTGTTCACATGCATGCTTAACTACCTATTCCTATATCAGCATGCGCAGTGTCTCAAGCAGTTATTCTTATGAAAAGAGATATGTCAAAAGAATTTCCATACACACAGAAGAATACACATATGAACAGAATTATGCATGCACACATATTTATAGAAATGTGGTCTGTTTGTGAATACTTATTCATATATATAAGTTGTCACACCCCAAGTTTTATAAAACTAGAATTCTTGAGATGTGACAGTCAATTCTTAACGAATGAAAACAAATTTGAAATTTTCACTAAATATTGCATCAAAACAAAATTTCCACTCAAGAACTTTAAGATTTGTACAAAGTCT